ACGAAGCACCATTACCTTCCCGTCAAAGCGGTACCTATTGATCTACTCACATTTGCATGTTTTTTTACTGCTAGGTTGGCAGAAGCTGGGGCTAACAATGGAAGGTCACACCATTCATGGATTTGAACCGCCAACCTTCTGATCAGCACGTTCTTCGGCTTAGTGATTTAACCCACTGTGCCACCATAACACATGATAGCCATGTTTCAATAGTTGAAAGGATATCATATTGAAGATGGAGCCAGCTTGTGTTCTAATTCTTCATAGACTAGGACAGAGAGCAATGGATTCAAACTGTTGGAAAAGAGATTCCATCTAAAGATTAGGAAAACCTTTCTGATAGTCAGAATTGTTTGAGGGAGTGTGGTGACATCTCCTCCTGAGGCTTTTAAAAAGAGGCTGGATGGCCATCTGTCCAGACTGCTTTCATTGTATATGACAGAATGGGGTTGGATTGGATGGCCCTTGTTGTGTCTTCTATACATTTTCCATTGCAGAAAGATTTCCCGGTTTCCACAGTTGTTGGCTTGAGATTACTAGCCAGCTATTGAATATGGTGGCCGCCTTCCCCCAGTTAAAGGGATGTGTATGTTGGGGGCAGTGGGGTTTTTTTTGTTTCATTTATGCTGGCATATGGAAAAGCCAAAAGATATCTGATGTCTGTCTCATCGCTCAGAAAACACACCTGCTTTTTACCTGCTCCAAACCTGGTGCAATGATAAGGGCTGATTAAAGACAATTAAGTTAGAAATTTTCTAACGGAAAAGGCAACTTGATTAAATTTATTTTAACGTGATTGACTTAACTGGACTTTCAGCATGAATTTAATTTCAGAATTAAGCTATTAATTAATTAAATGTGAGGATATGTCAAAGAATGAACAAATTTTGCATTTGCCAGCTGGTTTTTAAAATAAGTGCAGATGGCTATAGGCACCTTTTTGTTTATTTTTCTTCCAGAGTAGAAGATACAAATTAATTTCCAAGCTAAGAGATTTTAAAAGAACTAGTAGTAAGGGTAACAAAAGAGGATCTGCCTTCTTTACATCTAAGCCAGGCATGGGCAAACTTTGGTCCTCCAGGTGTTTTGGACTTCAACTCCTACAATTCCTAACAGCCAGTAGGCTATTAGGAATTGTGGGAGTTGAAGTCCAAAACACCTGGAGGGCCAAAGTTTGCTTATGCCTGGTCTAAGTTGTCTTTTATTGATTTATACCAGAGATATAAAATTACTTTCATGCTATGTGTATATGAAATATAAATGGAATTCATGTTCATGTAAACAATTACAGGTATTCCTAAACAAAACAGAAAATCCCAAAACGTTTCTGGCCCCATGTATTTTAGATAAAGGGATATTAAACCTATATTTTCCTTTAGAACTCATAAGAAAACATCTCTGATGCGGTGTTTGCGTATTTACTGCTTCAGAATCCTGCCTAAAAATAATGAAAAGAATGACTTCTCTCTAAGAATAAGTACAGTATCAGATCATTGGTTTCATTTTCTCAGTTCTTCCTATGAGAACTGTGTCTGCTTGTCACTATGGAGTGATTGATCATTACTTCTTTTTTATTGATTTTGGTTTTCTGCTTTTCCTCATAGACTGGTAAAACCAAAGAGGTTTCTTAAAATTCAGGGGCCCTTTACTCTTCAAAGGGAGCTGTGGTGGTGCAGCGGTTTAAACCACTAAGCTGTAGAATTTATTTACCATAATATCGGTGGTTTGAATACAAGAATGGGGTAAGCCCCTGTTGTTAGCCCCAGCTTCTGCCAAACTAGCAGTTCAAAAACATGCAAACGTTTTTTTGAGTAGGTCGATAGGTACCACTTCAACAGGAACGTAATGTTGCTTCATTCAGTCGTGCTGGCCACATGACCTAGGAGGTGTCTACGGACAATGCTGACGAAATGGGGATGAGCACCACCCCCAAGAGTCGGACTTGACTAAACTTAATGTCAAGGGGAAACCTTTACTTTTACCTTACTCTTCAAAGGCCTTCTGAATCTATTTGTAACAAAAATAAAATTTATTGCTGAAGGCTCTCATGGCCGGAATTACTGGGTTGTTGTGAGTTTTCTGAAGCATTCTCTCCTGACATTTCGCCTGCATCTATGGCAAGCATCCTCAGAGGTTGTGAGCTATGGATGCCTGCCATAGATGCAGGTGAAACGTCAGGAGAGAATGCTTTGGGAACATGGCCATACAGCCCAGAAAACCCACAACAACCCAAAATTAAAATTTAACTGCATTAGTTCTTTTAAACAAACTTTCTGTATTTGTCAGTGGGAGAGATATTGTGTCCTGCTTTGTGTATAAATAAAGTTAAAAAAATAGAATAAATAAAAATAGCTACCAGAGGCAACCACTTTTCCTAGCAAGGAAGAGGAGTTGGTCATCTTTGGTGTATTAGGGGATTTATAATGTGTTTCTTTAGTTTAAGATGGAGATACAAATTGTGTCCTTCAAAAAAGGAAGAAGAATGTAGCATATGTGTGAATGTTTATGATCTGTTCACATTATGCTCTGTGTCCTTGGTGCCATTAATAAGAAGCCAGAAGAGAAATACCACGTTAAAAATGAGAAATAATAAATCCACACTGAAACTTGTCAGCAAATCCAGGTGTTCCTTTTTGAGAAGCAGGAAACAGTATCCCAGATTCATATTCTGTGATAGTACAGTTCTCATTCCGAAATGATTCAGTTCTTGTTCTGTGCCATACTCTGTCCTGAAGAGACCTTGTTTTTGGAATGATTTTCATAGCAATGCAAAAAATCTTTATCATTGTGTTTGGCGGTACTGTGTTATAAAAATGAATGAGCTTTAAGGATTAGTCTGCAATCATCTGACCCCTCATGTTTTGTCTTAAATTAGTTTCTGCTTCTTCCCCTCTGGCTGACACACAGGAAATTGCATCTCAGACTTAAACTTTACTCTTCTATTCTTTCTCACTCAACCACCCACGTTCTCCATGAGCGAGGTCTTCCTTTTATTCTTGGTACAGAATTAAACTGAAATGCTGGTGCCAGTCCCCAGAAAGAGCATCTTTACAAACAGTTACCTTTGAAAGACATGTTTTGAAAGAATATATTTAGGCATTTGGCTGGTGCTTGTTTCAAGGGGGTATTGGGATTCTTTTTCACAACCGGTGAAGAGCGATGGTAATCTTTAAATTGCACTTCTCAGATATTTTGAACTTTGGCCATCTTTCTGATATATTAATTAATTTGGCCTAAGTCCAGTTGTAAACAGTCTCGGATCATGTGCTGGGAGAAATATCAAATAGATAGATAGTCCTAGTGAGAGTAGACATATTGAATCAACGTGAACTCAATATGTCAGGACTTCTGCTGGTTCGGTGGACACATTTATTTAGGCTGAAGGAAGTATGGCTCCCAAACTGTTTTTGCAACCGCTCCAAATTCTTCTGATCTCCCATTTAATAAATTTAAAAATGACGTGAATTTTAGGTAATGTTCACATTTTTTTGTGTCAGAAGCGACTTGAGAAACTGCAAGTTGATTCTGGTGTGAGAGAATTGGCCATCTACAAGGATGTTGCCCAGGGGATGCCCAGATGTGTTACTATCTTATGGGAGGCTTCTGTCATGTCCCCACATGGGAAGCTGGAGCTGACAGACAGGAGCTCATCCCATCTTGTGGAGGTGAACCGCTGACCTGGTACAAGGATTTCACCCATTGAGCCACTATGAAAACTGCTATATAAACTTCCCTTCCCCCCATTCTAAAACTTGTTAATTTGGACTGGAATTGGTGCAGAATGGCACCTGGAAGTAATGCAATATCACTTTCAGCATATGACAAAAGATTTGCGATCTTTGGAAACAAGGTTCCTCAGTAAATTCTCTTCTGAGAAAGGCTCAGATGGCCAATGTCTTCTGTCTTGTCTCTGTCTTTCCATCATCAGGCAGAGACTTATTAGAACAGGCCTCCAGTCTTTAACTGGTTTGGGAAGAAGGATGTGCAAAATGGGTGTGTTATTTTTTAATAAGTGCTGGTAATATGTGTTTCCTAGCAGTAAAAAGCTGAACATCTCAGCGTGTTATATGTTGCTGCAGTGTATGTTTGTTTCATTTTGCTTGTTTTGCTTTTGTATTTTTGACTTAAAAGATGGGTATTGGGGGCTACTTTGAGAAAAGTCACTATATAAATATTTTACATAAGCAAATAAATGAAACCACACCATTACCTACTGATCCAAGTAGGTAATGGTGGAGCAGGGTCACTCAGCCATGGAAATCAACTGAGTATATTTGACCAAGTTACACTCTCACATCCTCAGAGGAAGGCAAAGGCAACCCCCTTCTGAAAATACCTTGCCAATTAGACCCTGTGATAGAATTGCCTTAGGATTTTCATGTCAGAGGTGACCCAAAGGCACACAACAAAGTAAGAAGATAGATCCACCTTATCTCAACTCACATGTTGACAGCAGCCTCTCCTACACCGCCATATAATCCAGATTGTCAAATCAGATAATCTGCATTATCTGCTTGATCTGGATTATATGAGTCTACGTTGCTATAAAATCTAGTAGAACGTAAATAATTTGAATTTTATATTGCAGTGTAGGAGGGGCTTGGGAAGTCTCTGGCAATTATAATTTAAAGAGTAACTTTGACATGCCCCATTTTAGGGATTGTCCCAACTGAGAAGCAATGCCGGTGCCAGTTCTATGATTCCCAAATAGCAAGCATGTTTTCTTCATACAGCTTTGATTGCACCCTTATTCACAGGCTAGCTCATATATTTAGAGCTAATAGTGAGATTACATGGTGGAGTTTAACATTTGGTAAAATTAAGTGCCTGTTAGTAGATCCAACACTACAGTTAAAGTTTATGCAGTGATAACAAGCTTTTTGCAAGTTGCATCCATTCAAGCATATTACAGTGGACATGTGTTTAGGTCTAACAACTAGGGAGCACTTGTATATATGGATAGTCTGAAATGAAATGGACTCCAGGCTTATGTATGTTAGGTTTCTACTCCTCAGGTGCCTCCAGTGGAACCGATTCCTCAGGTAAAGAAGGAGAAGCACAGTAGCCAGGCCGCGAAGAACCGAGCCAAGAGGAAACCTCCCAAAGGAATGTTCCTTTCCCAAGAAGATGTGGAAGCTGTCTCCGCCAACGCAACCGCCGCTACCACCTTGCTGCGGCAACTAGATATGGAATTGGTCTCCATCAAACGACAGGTATGCTCGTTTCCCCTGCAACAGTAATGAGGCTTATTTTTAATCCTCCAATACATATATTAAAAAGGAGCTGCCATCAGTCTCAATTTTGTGGTTCCCTGGGGGATTTATAGCCTGGACGAGATGCTTTGCATTGGGATGAGGCTTGATTAACAAGCTGTCAGCTGAGCAGCATGTCTTCAAATGGAATCATTTCTGCTTGGTTTTCTATTTACAGTGCAGCAAGGTGGTTGGCCAGCTTTCCGTCTCTTCCGTAAGACTCAACTACCTGTACAAACATTTTTAAATCACAGTTTCTATGCTACTTCAGGTTGATTTTTTTATTATTTTGGAGAGCCTTCATATCAGACAGTCATTTTCTTTTGTTACTTGATTTCCGCATTTGCTGAGGGTGTAACATATTGCTATATAAGTAATATATATATATATTACTTATATAGCAATACGTTACTCCCTCAGCACCAGAATATGTGAGATATTCCCTTCTTCTTCCATATCACTCCAGTGCAGCAAAGGATACAATTCCTCTCCCAGTAATACATTTGCAATCATTTAATATGTAACATAATCTGTCTTAAAATTACTGCCTCCATACCCATATCTACTGAGACGAGAAGAGGATCATTTTTGTGTAGTCTCCAAGTAGGAACCAAATGAGAACAACAGACCCTACATCAAATTTGGAAAGCCCCATACCCATACAATCTCCTCCCAGAATAACTGTTTAGCATGATTATTGTATTCATAAGAGTAAGTGTGGTGTAATGATTTGACTATTAGGTGGCACTTGGGGAGGCCCACGTTCAAATCCTTTCTCTGTCATGGGCCCGGCTTTAGCACAGCTGGTTAATCACCAGCAGCAATAGATCACACAAATCAAAAGGTTGGCAGTTCGAAGCCCAGGTTGGGGTGACCACCCAACCTTCAGTCCAGCTTACTGTCCACCTAAGCAGTTCAAAAACAGCAGTGAGCTGTGAATAGAGAAATTAAGTATTGCTTAAGCGGGGGGGGGGGGGGGGGGGGGGGGGGGTGTATTTTAAGGCACTATAAAAAAAAACCCAGAAAATGCCGATGATCAAAGGAAGGAAGTCTGTGATCAAGCGCTCTTTGTCATAGAGGATGGAGCGACAGCACTCCCTGTGGCTGGAATTGATCACAACCTTTAGGACTCCGAAGTTGGGAAAAATGCCGACATATACCTCTATCTGTTGTTCAACAGCATTGAATGTTTGCTGTGTATGTGTTCTGTGATCTGCCCTGAGTCCCCTTCGGGGTGAGAAGTGTGGAATATAGAGGCTGTAAATAAATAAAAATAAATAAATAAACCCACCGGTGACCTTGGGGAAGTTACATTCTCTCATCCTCAGGGAAGGCCAGGGCAAACTCTTTCTGAACAAATCTTGCCCAGTGAACCTCATGATAGGTTTACCTTAGTGTCACCACAAGCTGGAAGTGACATTAAGACACATTAAACCACAACACTGTATTCAGAACCCAATCATAATTCCAAATCCTAACATTTGATTTATGCGGTCAATCTATTGCTGTAGGTATTTGTTGTTGCCAAGGGAAATGTTACCTCTCAGACATTTTCTGCGGTGATTTTATTGGGGCAAGAGGGAGAATGTCAGTTATTTCTGTGTCAGTCATAACAAAAGCGGTAATGTGATGCTTCTGCATATTGATGGGTTGTGCAGTTTAAAGTGATCATTACTGGTTATTTTGGAATGGAGGAAGTGAATGTTATTTCACATTATTTTGAAGTAGCATGAACATTTGTAACTGTGCTCATGTGGAACACTTGAAGCCTTGCTCTTTCCTTTTGAATCAATTACGGTTGTCAGATATGAATAACTAAGAGACGTTCAACTATGGAAAATACAATTTTAGGATCTATAATTTAGCCATGCAGTCAGTTGTAGCATTGTATACTGCAGCATGGAGGAGGTTGTGATTCAAAGAATTCATTACTGTTTCATGGCCTTTGTTATGAAAGCTACAATTCGATGCACTCTTTGGGATTAAATTCGACATAAAATAGATGAGATAACGTCACTTTAAAAATTCAACAGAATTGTTATAGGTTCAGAATTGCTGGTACACACCTGATTGGATATTGAAAGAAAGCATGAGAGTAAAAGATATAACTATTGTTATCCCGACCAATTTTTTTTCCATTGGTCAAAACTGCTATCTGTGATCACTTTCAGAGCTTGGAAGATTGTTTGTAAAAAGTAATTACAGTTATAGTTCCAAGTTCCACCACAAATTGGTTCTCATAATTTTTGCATTGCTGTTGCTCACGTTTCTTATACAATGCTGCCTTGGATCCCTTATTGAGAGGAAGGCAGGGTATAAAATGAATAAATAGTCATTCTGATATTGTGTGTGTGTGTGTGTGTCAGGATCAACTTGAGAAACTACAAGTCACTTCTGTTGTGAGAGAATTAGCGATCTGCAAGGACGTTGCCCAGGGGACCCCCGGATGGGTTTTTTTTTTAATGTTTTATCATCTGTGTGGGAGGCTTCTCTCATGTTCCCGTGTGGGGAGCTGGAGCTGACAAAGGGAGCTCATCTGCATTCTCCCCGGCTTTGAACCTGCGACCTGTCGGTCTTCAGTCCTGCCAGCACAAGGGTTTAACCCACTGTGCCACTGGGAGCTCCTAATCATTCTGATGAAAATAGGTTACAAGTATTCTCATGAAAGCTGCAGTAAGGAAAATGATAATATAGAATAAATTTGATAAAAGAAATTGATTGTCACACTGACAGAAGGGAGAAATGGAGAAGCAGTCAACAAGAAGAAATATCAATGGACAATTTAAATACCACAGTGAAGAAGATTGGAAGTGTTATGAACATTTCCCCCCTTTCTCATCTTTTTTCTTCAACCCTCTCAACCCTATTTTACCTTTTCTTAACCTTCTCTTCTCTAGATCTTTTTATATCAGCTATATGTTAAAAAGTATCTTAATAAAAATAATTTATTTTAAAAAACTGCAATAGGTTGCAGGCCCCGTACATTTTTTAATAACCTAGCAGTGCCTAACAGTCTACATCTATTAGGAATTGTGGAAGTTGAAGTCCAAAACACCCGGAGGACCAAAGTTTTCCCATTCCTAATAATAATAATAATAATAATAATTATTATTATTATTATTATTATTATTCGCTGATACATCACACAGTCCTAGACACTTGGAAAGTGTCGGATGTCTGATCCAATACAACAGCCAGCAGAGTGTCTGCTGTGGACTCACCTTGTTGTGTTGATAATAATAATAATAATAATAATAATAATAATAATAATAATAATAATGATCTGACCCGATATGAGAATTTAAAGATCGAACTGGCACAAGCCAGTAAAGGTGGCCCCAGTGGACCTTGGCCTGCACTTAAACACAATCGGCACTGACAAAACTATCATCTGTCACCTGCAAAAGGCCACCCTACTAGGATCTGCACACATTATTCGCCGATAAATCACACAGTCCTAGACACTTGGGAAGTGCCCGATGTGTGATCCAGTGCAACAGCCAGCAGAGTGACCTTGTTTGCTGTGTACTAATCATGTTGTGTTTCAAATAATAATAATAAATGGACATGCAAAAATACGGTGGGACTTTGGAATCCAAACTGACAACTTATTGGAACACAATACACCAGACATCACGATTTGGAAAAGAAAAAAGTTTGGATTATTGATGTCGCCATAGCAGGTGACAGTTGAATTGACGAAAAACAACAGGAAAAATTCATCCGTTATCAAGACCCCAAAAATGAACTGCAAAGGCTCGGACATAAACCAGTACAGGTGATCCCACGCTGGGTGCCGTGCCAAAAGGTCTCAGCCAGCATTTGGAAACAATAGACATTGACAAAATCATGATCTGTCAACAGCAAAAGGCCACCTTACTTGGATCTTTGCACATCATTCAAAAATATATCACACAGTCCTAAACTCTTAGGAAGTGTTTGATTTGTGATTTTGGGATATGAAATCCTGCATATTTGTTTGTTTGCTGTGTCATACTGTGTTTTGTGTCAGTAAAAAATAAAATAATAATAATAATAATTACTTTATTTTTGTACCCCGCCTCCATCTCCCTGAAGGGACTTGGGCGGCTTACATATGGCACAATGCATAAAACAATGCATAAAACAAACACACAATACAATACAATACAAGATAGAACCAATAGCATATAAAACAAGTTTAAGCTGAAAACTGTCCACCTATGAAATGCAAGATATGATCTAGTCTCACATCTTGTGTCTCACACCATCAGTTATGGAAGCTTTCCTGGTGCTATCTGAATGTATTGAATAGCCCTACCCTATAATTCCCAATGGTCATTCTGGCTAGGATGAGGGGTCTTGTAGTCCAGAATTTCAGGAGGCATCAAGTTGAGGGAGACGGGCTCTACAGGGACTTTACAAGTGGAATGTGAAAGCAAAGACCCTTCCTCCATTGTTGCTTTGTTAGAGCTGGAATAATATATATTTCAAGGGATGTGGGAAGAGAGAATAGAGAAGGCTTCTGTGCATCTTTGTGATTCTTCTGGTATTTAATTTCAGCATCTCTGTTCCCTCTTCTGATAGTATATTGAAAACGATGGTCTCAGCAGGCTGCTGAAAATGCTTCAGTACAGGGCTTCTTTAATCTATTTCGAAGTTTAAAACGTGGAATTATTTTCTTTTGCAAAGTGTTGTGGGGTTTGGGATGTGTTTGGGGGGTGGGGTGCTCGTCTTTTAAGCACCAGTGATTAACTGCTCCTTATTTCTCCATGTAAAGGTCTTTGGGGGCAAGTGTTCGGTCTAATTCAAAGCCAACTATACTTTCCTAGTCATTCCCCAGTCTTGTGCCCCTTGAACTGTCTTGGAGAATGTTCCTGACCTTCACACTTCAGTCTTAACAGTTCTCTTAGATTGGTTTTTAAACAGAAGGCTTGGAGTGGCTTAGATGTGTCAAAAAGACCAGCCTCTTAAATCAGTAGAAGTTTTCATACCTTAGTTGGAGTCTTACAGAGTCTGGAGGGAACTGTAGTTGCCATACCTGCAATGACAAAAATACCGAATGTGGGGGAAGAGAGGTTGTTTTTTGAAAACAAGAGGAAGTGTTGCAGCAAACGGCACATCAAAGCTTGGAGTAGCATTTTGCTGAAGAAAATGGTGCTGTGGCTGCGATCTGTATTGATGGGAAAATGTTTCTCTTTCAGATTCAGAATATCAAGCAAACAAACAGCGCTCTGAAAGAGAAACTTGAAGGAGGGATTGAACAATACAGGCTACCTGAGGTAAGTTTGCTAGCTGGAGCAACCCTTTGCTCTCTCCATTGAAATGTCAATAGGGTGTAAGGTCAGGAAGGACAACTGTGCCATCTTTAGAGGAATTGAATTGACGTTATTTTTGTTTTCAATTTTTGTTTTCAATTTTTTTTGTTTTCAATTTTGGCCTTTGTTCAGATTGGGGCAGTGTAGAGGACATGAATGGCAAAACTAACTGTTCAACAATTATTTGGGCTCATTTGGAGCCAACTAGCCTGGGAAAATGTAGGATTTAGGGTGTTCTGGGAGAAAATCAAAGGCTGCAAAAATCGGAAAGGATGCATGAAATAGGCTGTACTTAGCCCACATCTAATATAAGGGATACTGGTAGTGATGCGAGCTTACTGATGTCTTACTGCTCAAGCCAGGAGTCTTGGGCAGAGTAATGATTCTGCTTTGTTTCGTGTGTGTGTGTGTATGTGTGTGTGACAGAGAAAGAGATATTGATCTTTTTAATTCTGAATCACAGCTGCTTATTATTGGTTCCCGGTCTACTCTCCCCTTCTGATGTACTCACAAAAAGGAGATCAACAATATTTATTTATGTTTCTAAATGAACAGTGTTTTTTGCTATGAATTTGAGGAAACTACATTACTGTAGTTTCAGGGGACTGAGGTGGCACAGTGGTTTAAACTGCTGAGCTGAGTAACTTGCTGGCTGAAAGGTCAGTAGTTCAAATCCACAGAGCGGGGTGAGCTCCCATCGTTAGCCCCAGCTTCTGCCAACCTAGCAGTTCGCAAACATGCAAATGTGAGTAGATCAATAGGTAACTTGCGGCAACACCAGAGGCACTCCAAGTGGCCAGATACTGGTCAAAGGACATTTAATAAACTACCAAGCTTGCAAACTTTGTGTTTTGTATGTTTGTTTGTTTGTTTTGTTAAAAATGTCTGGTAGCTCCTGACATGATAAATAAATAAATAAATAGGTACCGCTCCGGCGGGAAGGTAACAGCACTCCATGCAGACAAGCTGGCCACATGAGTAAGGAGGTGTCTATGGACAACACTGGCTCTTCAGCTTAGAAATGGAGATGAGCACCACCCTCCAGCATCGAAATCAACTAGACTTAATGTCAAGGGGAAACCTTTACCTTTACACTATTTTAAATGTGCCTGATCTTGTCTTATTTCAGAAACTTAGGAGGATCAGGCCTGAAAAGAATTTGATAGGGCACTGCCAGGAAATACCAGGGAAACCATGATAGAGTTAAGAAAGAATCGTCTTTAAAATCTTGAGGAGTTGACAATACTGAACTGCATGGAACAATGCCCTCAGTTTAAATTAGCTTTCTGTATTCTTGTAAAATGCTAGACAGTTTAAGTCTCATCTAGGCATTTTTTTTTTAAAAAAAGAAACTTTCTTTTAAACTGGGGTATTTTCTGATCCCAATGTGAATTCCAATTTATTGTAGCTTGTCAGAAATTCCCTGTGTCCATAGAAATGTTTGTCTACAGAATTAATCCTCAAGAATCCACACCCATAAGGTTCACAATATGATGGGATGTTTCTTTTGAGTGTCTTTTGGCCTTCCTTATTTGCAAAAAAAAAAAAAAAATGTAGCAAAGATCAATGCAATAGACATGTTGGGACACTTTTTGCCCCATATGTGATCCCCCCTAGAATCATAAAATCATGGGCCATCCAGTCCAACCCCCTGTCACGAAACAGAAAAATTGCATTCAAAGCACCCCCGACCAATGGTCATCCAGCCTCTGCTTAAAAGCCTCCAAAGAAGGAGCCTCCACCACACTCCAGGGCAGAGAGTTCCACTGCTGAACAGCCCTCACAGTCAGGAAGTTCTTCCTAATGTTCAGGTGGAATCTCCTTTCCTGTTGTTTGAATTAAACATATGGCAAGGACATTATTTACTCTTCTTAAAATAGCAAATTTGTAAAATGGCTATGAAAATGGATGTGAATTGTGCAATAAATTATTACTTTGGGGCACTAAAATATCCCATCCGCCTGAAGGAGAGATAAACTAGACTGTGTTTTACCTTCATGTCCCTTGATTATAGTGAAGATTATCTATACGTGTGTAACAGCATAGCTCACTTCAGATGCTTTCTCAAAATGCAGATGATAGAGCCAAGCAAGCAAAAGCAGAGGTGGGAGGAGCACTGAGTAGTATGCCCTTGCTTTTGTCCCCAATTCCCAAACTCAGATGGGACAGCTTGGTCTATAGCAGTGGTTCTCAACCTGTGGGTCCCCGGGTGTTTTGGCCTACAACTCCCAGAAATCCCAGCCAGTTTACCAGCTGTTAGGATTTCTGGGAGTTGAAGGCCAAAACATCTGGGGACCCACAGGTTGAGAATCACTGCTATAGAGGTTCTTGCTGCTGGAAAAGGAACTGGAGTAGCCTACTAAGGCCCCTTCCACACAGCTGTATAAAATCTACATTGAATTGGATTATATGGCAGTGTGCTCAGATAATCCAGTTCAAAGCAGATATTGTGGATTATCTGCCTAGATATTCTGGGTTATATGGCTGTGTGGAAGGGTCCTAAGTATGAATCAAGAACCTTCACATGGAGTTTTCTTCTCTGAGCCCATTAAGAATCACTTTTTCCTTCGTCCTCAATGTTTGCCCAATGCACAGAATGTATAAGCAGAAAGGAGAAAGCCGGAGCATATGCTTTAAGTGCGGTGGATGTTTGGGAGATGTAGACTATAGGGATTTATAAGGACTCCATGTTCAACTTGCACTGTTATCACAGTCATTTGGAGCTTTCCGTGATCGCAAAACCACTAGTCTTCTTATTTGCTTTACTTTGGATATTGCTGTCAATAAGTGAGAAAATTCATTCCCTCTTCAGCCATGTACGTGTGAAAAAGATCTTGGAGTCCTCATGGACAAGTTAAACATGAGCCAACAATGTGATGTGGTGGCAAAAAAAAGCCAATGGGATTTTGGCCTGCATCAATAGGAGCCTAGTGTCTAGATCTAGGGAAGTCATGCTCCCCATGCTCTATTCCGCTTTGGTTAGACCACACTGGAATATTGTGTCCAATTCTGGGCACCACAATTCAAGAGAGATATTAACAAGGTGGAATGTGTCCAGAGGAGGGCGACTAAAATGATCAAGGGTCTGGAGAACAAGCCCTATGAGGAGCGGCTTAAGGAGCTGGGCATGTTTAGCCTGAAGAAGAGAAGGCTGAGAGGAGATATGATAGCCATGTAGAAATATGTGAGAGGAAGCCACAGGGAGGAGGGAGCAAGCTTGTTTTCTGCTTCCCTGGAGACTAGGACGCGGAATAATGGCTTCAAACTACAAGAAAGGAGATTCCATCTGAACATGAGGAAGAACTTCCTGACTGTGAGAGCCGTTCAGCAGTGGAACTCTCTGCCCTGGAGTGTAGGGGAGGCTCCTTCTTTGGAAGCTTTTAAACAGAGGCTGGATGGCCATCTGTCAGGGGTGCTTTGAATGCAATATTCCTGCTTCTTGGCAGGGGGTTGGACTGGATGGCCCATGAGGTCTCTTCCAACTCTTTGATTCTATGATTCTATGTTGACTCCTTTTATGCAAAAACAAGGCATTATGAATTCTCCTGAGTTGAAAAGCAAGAGTGTACATGCCATAGTTAATAATAAAATTATTATTACAGTTAGTTAATTGTATGCATCTCAGTCAATGAATTGATTAAATCTTGCTATTGTCATATGGGTAAAACAAATAGCTTTAAAGAAGAAAAAACATACTTCATTTTTTGATAAAGTAGACAGAAAAAGTGGTAATCCATTTCTGTGCTTGCTACCTGCAGTCATGTTTAAAATATAACTGTCTGCTTCTTTGATTAATTGTGCTTATCTTCTAAGTTAGCTGAATTTTAAAAACTGGTTAATTTAGCCAATTAAAACTGAAACCCTGTTTTTGATCTTATTTTGCTGAATTTGATTTTTAAAAAGACTCTGCTGAAATACCAATTTACTTGCTGCATTTCACAGACCTGGAGACTAGTACAAATGTCTCCACCTTGACATGAAAAAGTATGAAATTATGCATAGAGTGGAGAAAGTAGAAAAACAGACATTTTTCTACCTGTCTCAGTGCTTAGAATGTGGGGTGAGGTACTGAAGTTGATTGGTGGGAGATCTGTGACAAATGAAGGGAAGTACGTCTTCACGCTGCATAGTTAAACTACAAAATACACAACCACAAAATACGCTGACCTTGGTTGCCAACTTCCTTTTAAAAGAGGACTGGATAGATTCATGGAGAATGCATCCATCAGTGTTTACTAGTCAAGAGGAGTGTGTATCACCTCTGGTAGAAGAGGCAGTACAGCTCTGTATGTTAGCTTCTAGAGTAGGAAGGATTGAAGGGTATAGTTGCCATTTTGTCTAGCTGTTAAGCTACCCATCAACAACTGACTGGACTCTGGGTAGACATAATGTTTTAATACTTGTATATTGTATATTTTAAGTTATATTGCAATGCTTTTAGTTGTGAGGCGCTTTGAGTCTCCATATGCAGAGAAAAATGGGATATAAATAGACATAATAATAACAAAGATGATGATGTTGGTCTACATCTAATCCACATTGGGTCTTCCTAAGTTCTTGAGACAGCTTCTATGCCCTCATTTTTAACCCAGGTCTGTAACAAGATATTTTTGTAGCCAAAAGGCTAATTTATTTACTTTTATTTACTTTGTTTTATATCCTGTCCTCTCTCCCTCATAGAATGTCACCTATCTGCTAGGATGTCTGTTGATATTTAACCTCCAGCAAAACCTCTCTAGGCTAGGCCTATTGCTCAACTCTCCATTTTCAGTTTGAAGGTTTATATGCACTCGCTTCCAGATTTGATACAAGTGCTTTGAACACTTGGATGTGTTAACCTTAGTATTAATTTTTGCAATCTGATAGCCAGTCCTAGTAAAGCAGGGAGAGGTGACTGTTCAGGCAGGGGGACATCAATGAGAACCTCTTCACTCCTACGTGAATTCATCTTGATCCCTCAGAACACATGTATTAAACACAAGGCCCATGGGCCGAATACGGCCTTCAGTGTCATTTTATGTGGCCCTCAGGATGGTGGAGTACAACTTCTGTATTCCTCATCACTAGTAATCATGCCCTGACACGACAAATAAATAAAATCATGACTACAGCTGATGGGAGTTGTGATATAGTAATCCCTGGGTGGCTGCAGTTTATTCTTTTTGGTCAGGATGGCGGGGTTTGGATTTATATAAAAAGGGTGCTGTTGGGTTGCAATTCCCATTATCCCCAGTCCTCATGGCGGATAATAAAAAGTGGTGGAAGTTGTTCCATAACACCTGAGGACCCAAACTGGGTAAAAACTAAAGAGTACCAACCACTATGTAAAACAATTATAGTTGGCCCTCTGTATCCAAGGAATCTTCATGCAAAAATTCAATTGCCCTTTGAAGGCAACCATCAGGCTGATGTGGCCCGTGAGGAAAATGAATTTGATACCAGGGCTTCAGAGGACACTTCCATCAATGAAATGAAGTTGAAGCGCCAGCATAGTTAGTATCTGCACTTGGAATGGCCATCTTGGTTGATGTATCAAGTACAATAACATATCTTGGGGCGATACTGTCAGCTGTCATTGGGATAACCATTGAGAGAAACCAAAGTGGATTTTCCTTTCATCCTTGGTAGGGACCTGCAAGTATTTGCCCATGAGGAAAATTCTGTTGCTCCTCTGATAAGCTCTGGAAGAAGATATCCAGACTTCAATTTAGCATTTGTGGGGTGGGTCAGATATCACACATGCATTTCAAAATTCAGAGACAGCTACCTCCTTTTCAGCCTGGGTTTTGTTGCCTAGCTTTGGAAAGGAAGCTTCACCAAATCTGTAGCTGAAGAGGAAATTGGAGTGACTCCACTTCAAGCTCCTCATGGGCTGGGACAGAACATAAAATTGTGGCTCTCCTATAGGTTTTTTTTTTTTGTCATGTCAGGAGCGACTTGAGAAACTGCAAGTCGCTTTTGGTGTGAGAGAATTGGCCGTCTGCAAGGACGTTGCCCAGGGGACACCCGGATGATTTGATGTTTTTATCATCCTTGTGGGAGGCTTCTCTCATGTCCCCGCATGTGGAGCTGGAGCTGGTAGAGGGAGCTCATCCGCTTCCCCCCGGATTCGAACCTATAATCCTATAATTCTATAGGGATTAAAGAGGACAAATGCCTCATAAAATCCGCTGGAAATGAAGAGATAATCCAGACTCTAGTTTGAGAGCTAGATTGGGGAAAAATGCTGATATAAGATTAGGAACATCACAAACGGCAAGATCCTTATTACTTGCTTACTTACTTAGGCGATCCCTCATTGTCTGAGTAGGATTGTCTTCCAGGATGGGTGTACTGGTGGTGGGTCGTAGGTGGCTGTGGAGCCCTATTCTTGATCCGCATGTTCAGGGAGGGCATTGGTTTCCAGGTGGAAGGCGGTCCTGGTGGGGGTTGGCTTGATGTGTCTTCCTCTTGGCACGTTTCTCTCTTTCGCCCTCCATTCATGCCTCTTCAAATTCTACAGTACTGCTGGTCACAGCTGACCTCTAACTGGAGCGCTCAAGGGCCAGGGCTTCCCAGTTGTCAGTGTCTATACCAGAGTTCTTAAGGTTGGCTTTGAGCCTATCTTTAAATCTTTTCCTGCCCACCAACATTCCGTTTTCCATTCTTGAGTTCGGAGTAGAGCAACTGCTTTGGGAGATGGTGGTCGGGCATCTGGACAAAGTGGCCAGTCCAGCGGAGTTGATGGCAGAGGACCATCGCTTCAATGCTGGTGGTCTTTGCATATAGCAGGGTTGGGAGGACAATAGCTTTATAAACAAGCACCTTAGTATCCCTACAGATATCCTGGTCCTCAAACACTCTCTGCTTCATTCAGAAAAGTGCTGCACTCACAGAGCTCAGGTGGTGTTGTATTTCAATGTGAATGTTTACTTTTGTGGAGAGGCGGCTGCCAAGGTAGGGGAAATGGTCAACATTTTCTAATGTTACACCATTAAGCTGTATTTCTGGCATTGGAGAGGGATTGGCTGGTGACTGCTGGAAGATCACTTTGGTTTTCTTGATGTTCAATGACAGGCAAGGTCCTCATACTTTTAGAAATACAAGAGCTGAAATTGCGAGCCCTGTATTTAAAGGCTATGTTAAATCCCCTGACCTCTTCCTCTGTTTCTTTTCCCATTCCTGTTGTTATTAACTAAATGTTATTGTTAACTAAATAATGAACTGCATCTCCCATTTTGCTGGCAAAGGAGATACATTTTTTCAAATAAGTGCCAAGAGGAATAATGCAGGTTTTATTTGACTAATGAGTGTTCGCTTCTTCCGCCTCAAGCAATTTGTTCACTATTTCATTTGTACACAGTTGTCAGGCTAGGCTTTGAAAGCAGATCCGTTACCTAAGTAAATGATTCAATTTATTTTTGTGACATCTAGGTTACAATGAAATTTAATGCACGCTGGACCACAGAAGAACAGCTTCTTGCTGTGCAAGGTATGATATGGTGCTTGCACATCTATTTGTCTCTCTTGGAGGGTGACCCTCTTTGGCTTCATGATGGATAGCTTTTTAATTGGCCAGTGAATATTTTCTCCACATTCCTACTTCCTGTTTATCAATTTGGGAGACTGGATTGATGGGAGCTTCCAAACAATCGCTTTGGATGCTCCAGAATGCTTCCAGATGCAGTTGAACCATTGCAATGGTGCATGATGTGATTTCACACCCTGCAAGCAGCATTTGTGGATGAATGTTGATGGGGTTTGCTTGACATAGTTTTCATGATCTTTTTGCTGAAGAGGCAAACCATCTCCACCAGCTCAATGTATTTAATATAGGTGTAAAAACAAGTGTACCTTCTTGCAGAAATGTGGACAAACACTAGAACTAGGGTTCCCAAACTTAGGTCCATAGGCCTGATTCAGCCCTCCAAGGTCATTTACCCTAAGTTTGAAATGATTGAAGGCACACAACAAGAACAACAACAGCAACAACAATCCTAATTAACCTTGACTATCTCATCAGCCAAAAGCAGGCCCATACTTCCCATTGAAATACTGCCAAGTTCAAACTTCCCCCACTTTTTGGAAGGGTATGTGATTATTAATGAACGTTAGAATGACTCTTGCTAGGAGATTTTAATAATGGTGTGATACATTCTCTTGTGCTCTTTTAATTCCTTTTTGTTTTATTATTTCTATTTTTTAATAAAAATGAGAATGACAGCCAATTTTGATCTTACTATTATGGTTTACAGTCAGGCCTTCACATCTGAATGAGGTTAGGGTACAGGATCCCTGTTAAAGTGGGGAAAAATCAGAAATAATTAAAAAATATGATTTTCTACCCAAGGGACTGGTCAAATTTCACCTCCAAATGCCTAGAGAATTATTAGCTTTTGGAATCTCTTTTGTATGCCAAACATTGACCATAGTGTTGTGCTGGAGGACTTAGCGATTCCTAGACAGAGCACAATTAAAGTTAAAACTGAAAATGGGGAGGACCCACTCTATTTATTTTATTTATTATATTATTTGTCCTTATTATACAGATTCTCGTTAACTGGCCCTGAGCTACTTACTGTTTGCTAATTTTGGATGCTATTACCTGACCAATGAGATGAGGTTTATATATTACATACCATCTGTTATGATCTGGTCACTGATCGTAATACAGTTTACTTACTTAAATTGTATTCACATTTATTTCTATTCAGTACTGTCCACATCCTCAGTATTTTTTATGTAATTAGACCTACATTTAGTTCCCCTTTAGATGAGACATGGTGTTGGACTTGGAATGAAGAACCCTCGATTCAGATTCCCACTTAGCTGTGTTGCTTTATTGGGTGATCTCTGGACCATTTCACACTTTGATTAGCCTGTCTCACAGTTTGGTTGGAAGGATAAAATGGGCATGAGTGTATGCTGTGCCCTTAGACACAAAAGAGTGTTGACATGTTCCAGAATGCTTTTTCAAGAGCTGAGTACCTTTCACTTTTAATCTTTGATTGCTGCACTTCCAACTTGAACACCTATCTCCTTTCATAGCAATCAGGAAATATGGCCGTGACTTTCAAGCCATCTCAGATGTGATTGGAAACAAATCCGTGGTGCAAGTGAAAAACTTTTTTGTAAATTACCGGCGGCGCTTTAACATAGATGAAGTTCTACAGGAGTGGGAAGCAGAGCACGGCAAGGACGAGATGAATGGAACCAATACCCAGAAACCTGTAAAATCACCGGATAATACCATTAAAGTGTCAGAAGAAGAAGAAGAGGTACGTGTTTTCTTTTTGGTTGTTGTTGTGTTTGTTTGTTTTTACTTGAGATCCATCTTCATTTGCTTGCCAATTTGGGATGCTCAGTCCCTTGGCAGAAATGACTGCAATTGTTTTTTGTTTGGATAGCATTTGGCTAGCTTCATTGCTTAGCCATGCAGTCTGGGAGATGGCCAGCCGTATATTATCACTTTAACTGTCCATGACTTTGACATACTCAGATAGTGCTGGATACTCAGTGAATCCAAAATGGTCTTCAAACCAATGTAAGGTTGTTTTTCATTCTGCCATAGTGACTGAAAAAAATAAGTAATTATAAGTAATTACTAGTAACAGGTACATCTAGTGGAAATGTGAGAGAACATTCTCAGTTGCAGTCCCAAAGCATTGAAAACTCTCTTCCTAGAGAGGTTAGACTGGCATCTCCTCTGCTTTCTTTCTGTAGACAGATGAAGACTTTTTTTTCTTGTTTCAACGCCTTTCTGGAGTGATTCAAACCCCACTCTCCTAACTAAACAGAACTTCAGCCTTCCAGGTGTTATCGTATCACAACTCCCATCAGCTTTAGTTATGATGCCTAATGATGAGGAAAACAGGAGTTGTAATCCAGCATCTGGAGGGATTCATAAAATGACATGGAGGACTCGATTTGCCCACAGGCCTTGGGTTTGACACATGTGTACTAATTTATTTATTTATTTTGTGTCAAAAGTATTGCATAAATAAATAAGTTTACAACTGATAAAATAAAGGGCTCACAAACAGATAAATAGTTTTAGACCAAAAATGGGCAATAGCAACAACATTGTCTGTAGCTTTAAGCAGTTCTTCCTCTGTGCATGAGGCAGGGCATTGTGGGCAAGCATACAGATGCTGAGTTGTTTGTTCTGCTCCACAGTCGCACTAGGTGTAAGATTCTTCCAGGTAGGACCATTTTGCCAGGTTGTCTTTTGATGTGCCAGCTCCACTTATGAGTCTGTACAGGGACTTCCAAGTTGCCCATTCTTGGTTTGCCTCTGGAGGAAAACCCTCACGAGGGGCCATCCAGTTGGAATTGCCTGTTTTTGTTGCCCAGGGGTATACTGTTGCTGCTGCTTGAGGAACATTTAGAGGAGTGGTAGTTCTCATGAAACTTTCCCTTGATTTGAGTCTACTGGGAGGAGGCTGGTAATCGTGCAGTGGGTGGCTTTCACAGTGTTCAACCTTATCTCTCTTGCAATTGGCAACAACTTCTTATCGCACATTGAGGGCGGGGGGCAATGCTAGCTAGCTTATAGATTTTATCAATAGGTGTAGGTTTGGGGCATCCTGTGATTATGCTACATGTTTCATTCAGTGCTATATTCACTTGCTTCGTGTGGGCAGATTTATGCTAGATGGGACAGGCATATTCAGCAGTTAGTTGAGTAACACAAGACCAGGGCTGATGTTCTTACTACTTTTGGGTCTGCATCCCATGCACTGTTAGTAAGTTTCTGCAGGTTGTTTTGCATTTAGCTACTTTGTCCTTGATGTTTGCATAGTGTTTCCTAAATGTTAGTGTTCAATCTCAGGTGACACCGAGATATTTAGGGTGGAAACAGTGTTCAAGATCTTGACCTTCCCAGGTCACTTTCAGTTTCCTGTTCGCTTCACGATTACGTAGGTGGGAAGCACACACTTGTGTCTTGGCAGGGTTAGGCTTCAGGGGATTATCTTTTCAGTAACTGGAGGCAGAGTTTCTCAACCTTCCTAATGCCGAGATCCTTTAATACAGTTCTTCATGTTGTGGTGACTCCCAACCATAACATTATTTTCATTACTACTTCATTACTGTAATTTTGCTACTGTTATGAATCATCATGTAAATATCTGATATGCAGGGTGTATTTTCATTCACTGGACCAAATTTGGAACAAATACCCAATATGCCCAAATTTGAATATTGGTAGGGTGGGTGGGTGTGTGGGGGGGGGGATTTATTTTGTCATTTGGGAGTTGTAGTTGCTGACAATCAAAGCGCATTCTGAACTCCACCAACGATGGAATTGAACCAAACTTGGCACACAGAACTCCCATGACCGACAGAAAATACTGGAAGGGTCTGGTGGGCCTTGAGTTTTGGAGTTGTAGTTCACCTACATCCAGAGAGCACTGTGGACTCAAACAATGACCAAATTTGGCATGGATACTCAATATGCCCAAATGTGAACACTGATGGAATTTGAGGAAAATAAACCTTGACATTTGGGAGTTATGGTTGCTGGGATTTATAGTTCACTTACAATCAAAGAGCATTCTGGACCCCACAAATGATAGAATTGGGCCAAACTTCTCCACGACCAACAAAAAATAATGTGTTTTTGATAGTCTTTGGCAACCCTTCTGACAACCCCTCGTGACTCTCCCCCACCCCGGATACTGACCCCCCAGGTTGAGAAATGCTGTTTTAGGGCTTTAGTAAGTTGGTTTTTGACTGTTTCAAAGTCTTTTGCTTGTGTTGTTACTAATGTGTACTAATAAAATACAGCAATCTATGTAAGAAATCACTTTACCTATGGTATGTCTTTCCTCAACACACTGTACCTCTTCCCTTCCAGGCTACTCCTGTGCTGGATGTCAGATACCCATCTGCTTCATGAGAAACTCAGGAAGCCTAGAACAATGCTATGTTGTGACTACTGCATTATCTGCAATATCAGGTATTAGCAAAACCTCAGAACAGCCATCTGCATCATATCTCTGTGAACAAGCAGCTATTACCAAAAAAGAGAGAAAGAGAACAAACAAATTTCAGACGAAACGAAAGGCAAACACTTCTGCTCCCCGTGCTACATTTTTTGCCTTAATCTTCTCCTCATTCCTCCATACCGTTTCCATTTATGCTTCAGGACTGATTCTGGGTTTTCAGCGACATCCCAGTTTATAGCATCAGCTGCTCTTTGAACCACCTACACACGAAGGCATAGACCGCGATCGGCCAACTTTTCTCCTCCTTCCCAAGCTCTGATTATGACTCTTGAAAGCAACCTTCCCTGCAATAGGGTATTAATATGTATTTCTGTAGGGCATTGTGTGGTTTCTGCTTCTTTTCTAGCCATTAATTATGAGATGATCTCTTTTTTTATTTGTTTAATGAATTATGTTAAGAGAAAGCATTGTGGGTTTGCCAGCTTCTCTGAAGTCAGAGGATACAATGGGGATGGGGGAATGTCAAAGGATGCTGGCATGTACAGTTCTTTTTGCATATATTCAGCAACATTTTTAGAAAGCTCAAAAAATAATTGTATGATTATTGTAATGGACCTTTTTATTTTAATTCAAAAGGGAATGCACAGCCTGTAAGCCTACATTGAAACAACACACATACACTCACACATATGAACCAATGTATTTGCATTACGACATTTCTGTGAATGCTGGTTTCTTTAACTACCTGGGGGATTAAGGCTGTATAACACATATTTGTTTGTTCTTGGGCCCTTCTGCTTTTTAAAATACTTTCCGTATTGAAGTAGCCACTATAAATTTACAATATGAAAACCACTTAAGATTTTAATCATGGCTGTCCAGAGATTATCAGTGGGATTTTAATGGGTTTTTAAATGTAGAAACAAACAAAAAAATAAATAATTACAACCATATAATGTTCAGATATTGAAGCAAAGGTTTTCCTATCATTATTAGTAAATCAATCTTCAGAATGTGATTCACTGTACTCTAGCATGGCAAGAACGTGATACTAATAAGTGCAATTTACCTACCTTACATGGTGCAGTTTATCAATATATATATATGAATTGATCCATAAGAAGCATGACTATAATAGCTTGCTGAAGCTATGTTTAACTGAATAATGATAAAATGGTCATCTAACTTCAGCATATCATTGTATTTTTTTTTCAAAAGCAACTTTTCATTGGTACAGCACAGAAAAGGATGAGAGAGATTTGGCGAAAGGGAGTGTCGGGCAGAGTGTGACACTCCGGCTTCCCCAATTTAGCAGGCATCACTGATAATTTACAATTACTTTGCCCATTTGTTCCACCACAACAACCTAGGACTTAGGAATCAGGAAAATGTGTGTCACCCAAAACACATTGTACTACAAATCCAATTGCCCCGAGTGACGGCCATGAAGACTGGGGATGATGGGAGATGGAGTCCCAAATATATGGACAATCACATGCATCTTCACTTATGGTTCAGACACAACACCCATGGAATTCCCTTTAACAGTGTTCCTTCACTTATCACGGGCATTAAGTTCCAGGACCACCCGTGATAAGTGAAAATCCGCTAAGTGGGGATGCTATATATGGACTGCCTCAGCGCATGTGAGACTTAGGACCGCCCCCTCCTAGGAGTGGCTCCGTCCACTCCTCTCTCCCCCTTCCCCTCTCTTACTCACTCAATCCCTTCATTTTACCTTGCCTCTGCTCTTTCCCCTTCCCTTCCTCCCTCCCCCCTCCCCTTGCACACCACACTTCCCGCTGGCTCACAGGTAATGGGTATACAGTGTTCCCTCACTACTTGTGTGTGCGTGTATGTGTGTATACACACACACATATATATATGAAAAACCACAAAACAGCGAGTCCGCGAAAATCGAACTGTGAAGTAGTGAGGGAGTACTGTATTTGCCAAATATAAATATGGAGAGAGAAGGAAATAGAGCCAGAGAGGGAGAGAGAGAGAGAGAGAAGTAGTCCTCCTTTTTTTCCTTCCTTCTTACTGAGCACCTGTTCACTTTCAGCTGGGTAAAAAGCAAAAAGGGGAGGCATGAATCTTACAAAACAACAAAAACAATTTTAAGCCCTCTTAAAATTTGGCACCAGCTAATCTAATATGGATCTGAGAGACTGAAAAGCAATAGCATGTAAATGACAAGAGCCTTGGTCTCAAATCTAATTGCTAATCCCAATTAGAGCTGAACCCATTGAATCAATGGAACTTACATAAGTGTTGATATGCATCAAGTTCCCGTTAATTCACCGAGCCTCATTTAGTTGGAGCTAACAATTGGATTTAGGCTTTGGTGTCCTTTCCTAATTCAGTTCAAGCAAACCTCTTTCTCTCTTTGTGATTCCTATCACGGAACTAACTTTTAAAAACATTCCAAGCCCTTTTGCATTCTAAATCAAGGAAGAGTAGTGAGGAACAGACCTCACTACCTCTGAGGATGCTTGCCATAGATGCAGGCGAAACGTCAGGAGAGAATGCCTCTAGACCATGGCCATATAGCCCGAAAAAACCTACAACAACCCAAGAGTAGCTTTTTCCACATGTTATGATGACAGACTGGTATATTTTAAGCATATTTTATACTAAAATGCAGTAAAAGAGCACTCTTCTTATGTCAGTGTTCTATATCCAATTAATAAAGTGAGAAATATAAGCCAGGTGGGTATTACTTGAATGATTTCATTTAAATTTGTACTGACTAAAACCTAAATTAAATGGTCATTGCTCTGTGTGTGTGTGAGAGAGAGTTTGAGGGATCATTTTAGATAATAGACATGGGATTTAAATATTTGAAAGCTGTCACACACTTTTTCATCTTTCATTCTCTCTAATATGATAATATTGTACGTGTCGAAATTATTTAGGTGATGTAACATTCTGGCACAGATGATTCCCTTAAACAGCCATCTTTGCACAAGAGTTAGATTAACTTTAGTTCCAGAATCTAGAAATGTAAAATCTGTTCACCATCCCTGCAGATTTGACAAGGTATAGAAAGTGAGATAGAAATTTCTAAACCTGTCTAAATTATTTCCAGAGTTTTTAAAACTAGTCTTGTTCACACTTTGATCTAACAGACTTACTAAATTTTTAAACAGTTGAATTTACATCCCTATTTATTTCAGTGTCATGTACAAGACTATTTTGTTTTCTCCTTCACTTACAGCCTGTGTTTCCCAGTCATTCTAAAGCAGGCATGGGCAAACTTTGGCCCTCCATGTGCTTCGGACTTCAACTCCCACAATTCCTAACAGCCTACTGGCTGTTAGGAATTGTGGGAGTTGAAGTCCAAAACACCTGGAGGGCCAAAGTTTGCCTATGCCTGTTCTAAAGCATCATTCTATTCTTAATCATATTGCAGTACAGGGGGATGCAGTAAGACCATATGAGAAGTCATACTAGATTAAACCAGAGTTCCCATCTTTCCCAGCTTTCTGTCCATATCAGATGCCACAGGGAAATCAACAAGTCAGACATGTGAGCAGCTGTGTTTTCCCTTCCAACATCTATATAAATAAAAATGTAATGTTCGTTTGTGAGATTAACATAACTCAAAAACCACTGGACGAATTGACACCAAATTTGGACGCAAGACACCTATCAGGCCAATGAGTGAATGTTACTCATAAAAACACTGAAAAACACAATGGAAGGGACTTAAAAGGCCAAAAAAACCCCAAAAAGACTCTACAGCACATGCGCGAAACGACTCCCCCTGGCAAACAAAACACACAACAGCATATCTACATTCTCTTCCGGACTATAGCTCCCAGCATTCCCTAGACCAGGCCCTTTAGGAGAGAAGGATGATCCGAATGCATTGCTTCCAAGCTGCAATCTTTCTTTTCCTTGGATTTCTTTAAGATTTCTTTAAGATAATCCCAATCCCTGCACATTTCCAATGTCTTATTCCTAGACTGCGACTCCCAGCAATCCCCCAGATAGATGGATTAGATGGAGATAGATAGGTCAGTAGGCAGATAGATCAATCAGGAGGATTGCTGGGAGTTGCAGTCCAAGAATAGGCAAAGAAGAAAGACAGGGAGAAAGAGGAAGGGAAAGAAAAGAGGGGAAGGAAGAGAAGGAAGGAAGGAGAGAAAGAAAGAAAGAAGAGAAAGAAGGTGGGAAGGTTGGCCACAGCAACGTGTGGCCGGTACAGCTAGTTAACATATAAAATCAAGTATACGGAACCCCTTTTCTTTACCCACCTCACTTCTAACTGTTCTACAGGGAGGCCCAAATTAACAAGTCAATCTGTAGCATGAGAGGAAAATGCTAAGGAAAAGGGAAGTATCCTTGCTAACAAAATACTATTGGCTACAGCCCCAAGAATTCAATAGAACTAAAACAAAATTAAAAGTTAACAAGGTAACCGTTTGCCAATACAATATGACTTCCATATCCACTGGACTGGTACCTTCATTTTCATTTTTTCCACATCTGTCAAATTATATCCTTCCTAGGTATTTTCTAGGTCCTTCAGCATGATTCTGTGGCAGAGCTTTCCAAGCATTTCAAGTTGATGATACATTTTTTGGATGTGCATCATTTCGCAATACAGTAATAGAGACTAGCAACAAGGAGGTTGAACCAGCCCCTCATAAGAGATGCAAACACATACATAAAATTGTAATAACAAAATGTAGAGGGGAACAACATATCTCATGAAAATCATTCACTTTTTTATACATATTTGCTTCTTTCACATAGACTCAGAGGTTTCATGTTCTGGTTGCATGGAATACCTATAAACTGTAGCTAATACACTAATATGTTACCACTAATATGTTTGGAAAGCTCTGCTCTATGATATTCTTGGGTGAAAAGTCCATCATTTTAATAGGTGTGCTATTATCCATGGTTTCATTAACCACACGAAATCCAGGGACGGATCCCCTGTGGGTATGGAAGTTGTCCTATGTCAAATCTCTCATTAATATTTGTGAAAATTCTTATATCATATCTGATTTAATGTATTGTCGAAAGCTTTCATGGCCAGAATCACTGGGT